TTTTTATTGTTAAGTCTTCTAGACTTTGTGCCTCCTCTACATCTCGGCGTTTGACTTCTTCCCATAAGAAACAGTCCCTCACTTGTGAACAATGCCTCATCCGTCTACAAGATGTTTGCATCGCGGTGATGTAGAAGCCACTCACATAAGGCTCGACGTGGTACTGGGTCTAGGTCATGGAACTGCTGAACCGGCTGAAAGTGGTACGGATGGAGTCCGGCTGTTTTTAGCAGCTTCAATACCGCAGGCTGGCTCACACCAAAGAGATATGCCGCATCGTGGGTACTGACTCTGGGACTTCGTCTGTTAAAATGGTTCGAAGCATTAGGGACCGCGGGGTTACGGATCCCAAAGGCCCGCATACGAGGTATGCTCTTCGTCGCATACTTTCTCCGAATTGCGCTTATGTAGGTTCTCACCACTCAGAAGATAAACTCGTACATCTCGTAAAACTCACGACGGCGGGCGCGTCGCGTGCGCGGGAACGCGAGGACACGTCACATCGGCGCGTGCGTATGAGTCTCACTGTCGCGCGCGTCGCTCGGTCCCGGCGGGGCGGTGGGGGCTGTGGCGGGGGGCTACCGGGCGCGGCGGGGTTGCACGGTGGCATACGCAAGAGAAGACGTTTTCATTGAAGTTTTATTTTAAAAAATGTGTCCATATTCTACCGTTTCGATAGGGATAAAAATATAAAAAAAAATTTTTTAACTAATTATGGAAAAGTGTTCTATTACTGATACTGAACCACCAAAAAAAATTTTTGCACTGGAAAAAAAATATTCCTGTATAGTTGAACTGACGTACGTTTATTTTCGGAGAGAACAGGTGCAAGGAAATCTTCATGAATCGATTGAACATGTTTTGTTTCAGTTGTTTTACGTCCGGATTTAGGGCCTCTCTTATCATTAGATTCTGTACAAGCTGATGACTCTGTTAATGGAAGGTTTGCAGAACTTAAGAGGGATAGTATTTCAGGTCCAGTATGAGGCTCTGTCTCCATAAACTCAGCGTTAACAACGTTTGACGTGGTTGGAACTTCAAGGTCAGGATGAGGTACTAACTCTGTAAAGGGGAGATTTCCAGAATTCAATAGAGATGGTGACTCATATCTGGTATGAGAGTCTGTCTCCATCGACTGAGCGTTAACAACGCTTGACGTGGCTGGTTCTTCACGTCCGGGATGAGGAGCTATGTGTGCGCCGGTCTCTATTAACGGTAGGTTGACAGATCTTGACGTAGATGGATTTTCTTGAGCTAGTGGTATGTTTGTAGTTTCAGCAGCCATAAAATCAACATCACTAAAATTGTCTTGGTTGTATGGCCATATACCACACTTCCTGAAGCTGTTAACCGCTGTGGACATTGTAGCTGCTTGCATGTAAGCCTGCCCAAATATTTCACTTATTTGAAAAATGGTGATCACGCGTCCTGGGTGAGATCTCAACCAATTTGAAGCAGCATGGTCATAATAATTACTTAAAGGCCTCATGAAAGCTACATCAGCTCAACCAATACTTAAAGGCCTCATGAAAGCTACATCAGCAAGTTGCAACTTATGTATGCAATGAGGAGGGAAGCAAATTATTACAACTCCATATTGTCGTGCAAGATCTATAACATCTAGATTTTGAGTATGACTTACATGTCCGTCTAAAAGCAGCAACACTTTATTGCTAGGAGAAGCTCCCGAAAATTGGATGAACTGTTTGAACCAAATAGTAAATATTTCAGCTGTCATCCAGCCCTTTGGATTACACGCTGATGTTGTTCCTGCGGGAGCTCGGTCTAGCAATTCAGCTTTCATACGCTGTCTCGGGAAAATAATGAATGGAGGCATGTACGTCCCAGCAGCATTGAAACAAATTTCTACAGTGTCAATTTAGCCTCGCTCTGCAGAAGATAATGAACCGACTTGTTTTCTACCTTTTAAAGCAATTATCTTGCTCTTAGTTTTCGAAACAACAGAAATGCCAGTTTCGTCACAGTTATATATTTTATTTGGAGTTAAATGTAATGCATCATATGTTTTCCCAAGAAGCTGGTAGAAATTTCCAACTGCTTCTCCATTTCATAGCTGCAATTCCATAGCGCGAGCTGCCGAAGTAGCCTCTGGTTTACGAATTGATAATTCAGAGTGGCGTTTTAAAAAACCGTTTAGCCAATCAACACCTGCCATCTCTTTCTCGGTATTAAAATTGTGCCTTTTATTATTTCTTACGGCCAACTGGTAAGCCAGTCGCCTTAAATCCAAAGTAGTTAAGCCAAAAAGTCGTTCTTCCATATGCTTCACATATTCTGCAAGTTCTTGTTCTTCTTTTTGCGAAAAAACAGACTTTATAGGTCCCAGTGGTAAGCCAACGGTAACTTCTTCACCTCGTTTAATTTTTTTGACATAACGCTCCAAAGTTGTTTGAGGAACACCATATTCTAAAGCTGCCTTTCTGTATCCTGATTCTTTGCTCAAAATTTTGTCCACAGCTGCTTTCATGGACTGTTGTGACCACTCTCCTCTTTTTGTCTTCTTTTTGTAGTTTCTAACCATGTTTAATCTGAGAAAACAAAATAAATTATATTTTAATCGATATATCTGTAAACAACAACAAATAAAGCAAATGCTAGGTAACTAATCTCATTTCGTGGTCTGAAGGGCATGTTGGGGTATGAGGCATAATGGGGTACCCCATTATGCCCCGTATGGTCTACACTATCTTGCCCCAGTCACTGTGTTTAAAGAAAATAAAATTTATAAAATACACGGTTGGGACTAATGTGATTTTGAAAATGAATATCAAATGTAAGGAAAACGTAAAAAGAAGGCAAAAAATAGCCATTAGTTCAACTCTGTTTCTTACCTGTTTCTGAAGTTGTTTAGAAACACAAAATATTACATCAATTATGCACTGTAACAGAAATTTGTTTACAAACAAAGAACGCACGCACTTTCGAAAGCGGCTTCTAATTGGCTACAGCGCCGCCTCGCGGAAGCATCGAGTTTCTTGTATGTGTGCGTGACCCGTCTTACCTCGCTATCCCGTCATACCCCTAGTTCCCCAATGTGGCGCAAAGTTCATCTGCGACATCAACCCCACATTTCGTTTTATTATAATACGAGGGGTGTTCTAAAAGTAGTCTTTAACTCTTCAGCTATAAAACGGACAGTTACACGGCGATCATCCAGAATAATTTTTTCAACTTTCTCGACCATTTCCCGAGTGACGTTGAAAAGCGGCCCGAGCGCTGGTCATCTTTAACCGTTGTTCTTCCACGTTTCAACTCTGAACATCACCGAGCCACTGTGGAATGTGGAGGAGCAGACTCCCACAATGTCTCACATAACTCTTTAAAAATTTGTTCCGTAGTAAAAATTTTCAAGCAAAAGTATTTTATTACTGCACGCATTTTTGAATTTTATCCATTTTTGCGAGAGTTAACGACGCGTCACAAACAAATAATAAATACAACTGACACAGACAACATAGAAACCTAATTATTTGAGGGTATTATAACAAAGACCTAATCTTTCCGAGACGATATTTTTTTTTTCAATTACCCTCCATTACTACGTCGATTCTCACTACATTTTCAACAACCCTCGTAGTTGTTGATTTCGGGTTTTCGCTTTTCTCCACTTGTTTCGTCAATTTTATTATCATAGTGAAGACTTGATATCAGCAATACCACCTTATTTTTTTCGGTACATGAGATACAAGAGTAATATCTTTTTGGTAACCAACTCGAGATGAAAACACGTCAACGCCTTGAGTTTTTGTGAATGCAGGAGGGGTTTGTTTTTTATTTTTACGCACAGTTCCAACCGAAGTCAACTTATGTTCATTCAGCAAATGCTGAACCAATTATCAAACGGTTTATTACTTGCAGCAAACGACCAGCAGGCTGTTTTCCAAGATATATTTCAAGATTCAAAATGTAGAAGTTCGTAGAATTTACTAATGCAATGATCTTGATGCGATATTTTGCAGGTTTTGATAGTATATATTGTCGAAATTTGCACCGGCCAAAACATGCAACAGTAGTTTTTTTATATCGCAGGATATGCTATCCAACACATTTCTTATTGTCCCTGTTTTCAATGCTCCAGCCTTTTTTAAAGCATCTTGCTGAAATTCTGTATTGCTATGTTTAATACATAAGCAAGTGTCCCCGGAAGTTAGACGCGGAGCAACGACGTAGAATGGTTTGTACTTAATAAAAGTAGATAGTCCGTATCGTCCACCTTCCTTTCTGTACTTGTTAAATAGGTTCACTAGGATGTCAGATAGGTATCTTAATTGTTTATTTCTTTTTTTTCTTGTCCTAGTTAGTTTCCTTTCGTTCAGCTGTATAGCGACTTACGTCGTCTCTTAAATAAAAATTTGTAATTTCCGATATATTGGGACGCTTAATTGTTTTTTTTATAATCACAAGGTTAGGTTTACAAATTACGCCCAGCTTATTTGAAACATAGAATTTATTTTTAGCATTATGTACCAGTCGACGTGATATTTTAATTTTCTTGTGACTTCTGCTATTTTTATAAGTTCGTTTTAAAGTACTTTATTTTTATAAGTTCGTTTTAAAGTACTTTCAAGAATCTCCTCTCTCGCCTTCATTTTTTTATTAATATTCTCTAACTCTGCAATCTTTCCTAAATATCTTTTTGTAATGCGCTGATTTCGTTTTTTTATAGGTTTCATTTCGAAGTTTCATTTTTTGATCAAATTTTGGTATCTGCGACATTTTGTGGCTACAGTACTCAACATTTATTGTGGTATCTTTTAATATTTTTTTCTTTCATAAAAATAATGTAATCACAAAAAACTAACATATTTAAATATTATTAAAAACTGAAACCATGATATGATTGCATTCAGAGTTGTTAGAAAATCTTTAATTACATTATCATTCTTCGTTTTAGCGGTTTATAGCGTAAATTGTGTTAATAAAATTCTAAGAAAAAGATAGATTGGCAGTAACTAAATTGAATTTTTTAATACATGTGTGCAATATTTTACGTACTTGGGGGGGTTTCCAGGGGTTCGGTGAGGGATGGTGGGATGATGCGGACGAGTTTTCTGGATCCCATTGACGAAGATGCCCGAAGGTCGTGGTTCACTATTTGTCTTACTTCAACGGCCTCACATTTACCGGGTATATAGACTAACTCCAAATTATAATGTGTTGTTTCTGTGGTATGACAAATAGCACTAAAGTAGCGTTTGTTACGTGTGCTTGTCCACTCGTCAATACTCACACTTAGCCTGTTACCTGGAGAAAAAATATATGAAAGTTCTTTTATCATTTATTTTATCTTTTTCCTTATCCTCATAGTATTTTAGTGTTAGATTCATAACATCATTAACACACATGGGCAGTTTATATTATTTAGCAGAAAGTGAATCACGAATGAATTCACTTTTTGTGATTCCATTTATGGTAAAGCCGTTTTCTACAGCCAGCCTAGCCAATATTTCACCCAATGATGGTATCGGTAGAGTTTTTAAGTTTAGTTTCTGTTGCTGCATACTTTTATACCCAGGCCTGCTTTTTTTCGGTGCACTCTCACCTGAACTTATAGATGCTTCAGATACGGATTCTTCTTGGGTCACGCATTTAGTAAAATTGATTTTATGCACGTGTGGTAAATGTCTCACCAACCTGCTAGTATTTGAACCTTTGCAAGCAAATGGTTTTTGGGCACTTTAAGCATTGCGCATTTGCAGATTTTTTTTTACATATTTCCATACTTTTAATGCTTCCACCTTAACTGTTATAGTGATGTTTCGGTAAATCTATAACAAAAGCAATTCAAATTTATTAAAAGCCCTTGGAGTAATACAGGAATAATTTAAAACCCCTGCGAAGATTTTGTGAAAATAAACTTTAAGTAATTTAAACAAACACGTATTTTTTATTTTGATATGTCCTCATACTAAAAAATAAAGTTATCGCTTATCAAAGATCGAGACTTTAAAACTAAATTTATGGACACCGCGTGCCGTGCGTCAGCTGAGCGCGCGCTCGACTCTGTTTTGCCTAAGTAGGTATCACGGCGTCGAGCGTGGGTCACTGACCGCTCATTTTGTTAGATTCGAACTAGAATTTATGCCATGACCTGAGGTGATTTGTAAGAGTAATTCCAATTTTCCCTTCATACTTTTATGGGCTTAGGACCATCAAAATGCAGAAAATAAAAGAGAAACAAATTAGATACTTGGAAAAAATATTAACGTTATGCCGAGGTTACATAGTTTAGGTACTTCTGCGTTAAGGCGTAATTAAAAAATTGGAATCAACTACGTATTTACAATAATGTCCAATCAAAAATGAAACCTAACTACGAGTAACTTACCATGTACTAATCGCTGTATTTTAATAATTGTTCAAAATGAAGTCCACCTCTTTCCAGACATAATCGTGCACGTTTTATTAAATTGTCATTTAATTTATTCAAAACACTAGTGTCACTTTTCACTTCACTAAAAACGTTATTAATTTTTATTTTTTAGTCTTTTAGGCTTTGTGCCTCCTCTAAATACACCCGGCGTTTGACTTCTCCCCATAAGAAGAAATCGCAGGGTGTAAGGTCCGGAGACCTCGCCGCCCACAGTACGGGGCCACCACGACCGATCCAATTTTCTCCATATTTTTCATTCAGGTAGTTTCGTACCTGTATGGCGTAATGAGGTGGAGCGCCATCGTGCTGAAAATAAAAATTCCTGAAGTACGACAACGGAATTTCTTCAGTCAAATTTTCTATTGTATTCTGTAACATTTCTAAATAACTCGTCCCGGTTAAGGCGCCGTCGATAAAAACGGGCCCTATTATTTTATTTTTAATTATCCCCGCCCACACATTAGCACTAAAACGCACTTGGTGATGTGTTTCTCTTACTTAATGGGGATTATTAAATGACCACCAATGTTCAAATCAAATCAAATAATTTATTGGCCATATAACTCAGAAGGTTACACACGGCAAGTCTTTTACAATAAGCATATTAAATTAAAAATAAAGGTTTAAATCATGCATGTCAAATCATTGTTAGTAGGAATGTCAAATAAATTAAGTATCTTAACAATGTCAAAATGGTTATTTTTCCGATCCTTAATAATCAATTATATCACAGTAAATTAAATTTTAATTAAATTACAACATCACAAATTAGATTATACAAACATAGATTATATATAATTTTATGTCATAAAATATTGATGATTATTATATCTTGTCATCTACCATAGAGATCTAGTCAATTTCGTATCTCACCCATCTTTATGTAGGAATGAATATTCATCCAAACGCATAGACATAAATTCATTTAAAGAGTATAAGGGATACTGAATAAAAAAAAAAAAAATTGTTCTTTTGAATTCGTCGTCATCCATGTTTTTGATACTGAGGGGAAGTTTATTATACATTATAATTTTATTATATATGCCTTGTTTTTGTACCTTTGCCAATCTTGTTTTAGGCAAACACAATCGTTCCTTATTACGTAAATTATAGCTATGGATGTCCATCTTTCTCAAATGTGAATCCCGATCATGGTGTATTTCTATTAAACATTTATAAATGTATAAAGAAATAATTGTCATTATTTTATTTTGTTTAAAATAAGGTTTGGCTGACGTACGCTTTCGCAAACCATTTATAATTCGTAATGACCTTTTTTGGCATTTTAGTACACGATTTATATCAGAAGCATTTCCCCAGACTGTCACCGCATAACTTATAGGGAGTGCACATAAGCATAATACACTGTCATTAATGTTTTTTTATTGGTTACGGGCTTCAGTTTTTGTAGTGCGTAGTTTGCACTGGCTAGTTTTTTGCATAGCTTGTTTATATGATAAGAGTGGCTCATAGTATGGTCTAAGGTATAACCTAGAAAAGTATTATTTGTAACAAGTACGTTCTCAGATAGCCGTTTTCTAACCTGATAATGCATTATTGTACTTTTATTAGCATTCAGTAATATGCCATTAGCCTGAAACCATTCCTTCAAAATATCCACAGTCTTAATCAACTATCTCAATTTTTTGCTAGAGTTTATTTTGCGACTTGTCCTTTATTCCGAGATGAGTATCATCAGCAAATAAGCAAATATATATTAAAAATAGCACTGGCCCTAAAATCGAGCCTTGTGGCACCCCTATATCAATGTCTTTTAAATCTGAAGATACACCATTTACTACAACAACTTGCTTTCTTTTTGATAAATAAGATTTCATCATATTTAATTCTACATCCTCGAAACCATAATATGTAAGTTTACAAATAAGGTTATTATGGCGAAGACAATCAAACGCTTTGGATAAGTCACAAAAAATACTCGCGCATTTCTGTGACTCGTCCAAAGAGTCTAGAACAAAATAAATGACCTTTCTAATTGCCATCTCAGTAGACCTATTTTTTCGGAAACCAAATTGCGTTGGAACAAAAAGTTGATTTTCCTCGAAATACTTGACAATTCTATTTTTTATTATATTCTCTAATATTTTTGATAATGTTGGCAGAATGCAAATCGGTCGGTAATTACTTAATGCACAATATTCTCCTTTTTTGTGTAACGGGATAACTTTGCTAATTTTAAAACAGTCCGGAAATACACCGCTTTTTAAGCATCTATTAAACACTATAAGCAGCAAATGCATAATTTTAGGATTTTTAAGTATTACTTTTTTTATAGTTTTTGTATTCATGTCATAAATATCCGTTGTTAATTTAGGTTTAATCTTTTTAACGATAGTCCATAGTTCCTTATAATCAATAAGGTCAAATTTAATTGATGTGGATGGTTTAGTACAATTGTCAAAATATTGTAAACATTTTTGAACCTCTGTATCTAGGTGGTTAGTCAAAATATGTGCAATTTCAGAAAAAAAATCATTAAATAAATTAGCAATAGCCTTGGAATCTTCAATTTTATTTCCCTGACAGTCCTCAACATATAGAAGACCCGCGGTAGATCTACACCTGGTTTTCCTTCATGTTTGTTCACTTACTATGTTCCAGGTTTCTTTAATTTTGTTGTTGGAAGTTTGAATTCTATGAGAGTATTAACCCCAATCATAACCTTTTTTAATATCTTTTTATATTTTTTTATTTTTATTTGTGTTTCAACATTTGGGTCATGGTCTTGTAATATTCATTATGCACATTATACAGTCCCACACGTGGGAACAATGCCTCATCCGTCCACAAGATATTTGCTTCGCGGTGATGTAGAAGCCACTCGCATAAGGCTCGACGTGATACTGGGTCTATGTCATGGAGCTGCTGAACCGGCTGAAAATGGTACGGATGAAGTCCGGCTGTATTAAGCAGCTTCCATACCGCAGACTGGTTCACACCAATGCGACGTGCCGCATCCTGGGTACTGGCTCTGGGATTTCGTTCAAAGAATTCAAAAATCGTTTCTTCTAATTCGACTGCCAAGCGAGGTCTGCCAGACCCTCGTGCATGACTCGGGGTAATGAATTGGCCGTGATCGAGCAGCCTTTGATTGGCTGCTAAAATGGTTCTTGTATTAGGTATCGCGGGATTGCGGATCCCAAAGGCTCGCATACGAGGTATGCTCTCCGTCGCGTACATTCTCCGAGTTGCACTTAAGTTCTCACCACTTAGAAGGTAAACTCGTACCATCTCGTAAAACTCACGACTGGTAAATTCTGACATCGTTATCAGAAAAAACACAACACGAAGGGCGCGAACGACGGCCACTGCGCTTGCGCGGGAACACGAAAACACGTCAAAGCGGCGCGTGCGTATGAGTCTCACTGCGGCCACTGCGGCGCGCCCTTCAGAAGGGCGGCGGGGGCTGTGGCGGGGGGCTGCTGGGAGCGGCGGGGATGCACGGTGGTATACGCAAGAAGAGACGTTTTCATTGAAATTTTATTTTAAAAATTATGTCCATATTCTACCGTTTCAATAGGGATAAAAATATTTAAAAAAAAAATTTAAACTAATTATGGAAAGGTGTTCTATTACTGATACTGAATCACTATTAGAATATATATATTATAATATATATATATATATAATAATGTATAATAATTAATATATAGGTACATGATTTCTCGAATGTGTCATTTTAAATCTCGACTTTTCTCGAGCTTGATTTCCCGGGAACAAAGCCTAATGAACCCTTATTTTCACAAATTTTAATTTCGTCGCTAGTTCTCCTTTCCGGATCAGGATATTGAATACTTGTTTCCACAGTTGCATTATTGTTCGCACTTGATAATTCTGCAAGATTGACATTATAAATTTTATCCAGGTTACTGTTATGCTTTACCTCTATTTGAATTTTGAAAGAACTCCTTTGGTAGCTTTTCACGATCTGGGGAAAGTGTCACGGCAAATTGTTTTGTACAATTTTCACTCAAAATTGGTGCTATGTTATTCAAATGATTAAAATCTCCATTTTTTTTTCGTCACGCTCCGTGCTGCAAATTCTTCTGCCAAGAATCATTGTTAATTCTTCTTCAAACTGCGTCTCAGAAGCTACGGGGAATAATTTGATAGGGGTAATACTTTTCATTACTTCTTTTGTTTTAGCTATAAAATTATCTGGTTTTCTGAAGGTGGGGGGTTAAATTATCTACATTACATTCTTGTGGTGTTTGATGAAGAATCGTAGTATTATTATTCATTTCTACTTAATTTGTTTCAGTAGACACAAGAATCATTTTTCCTTCTACATTTTTAGATAATCACTTACAATTAGTCAAGACTTTTTCCCTTTTTTCAGGTAAAGTATCACTGTCAGCTACTTGCTTCAACGACTCTTTCCATTCTCGACGGCGTTTAGACATTTTTAATCTAAAATAAAGTTAATAATGATTGATAGTGTGGAGCACCACACTTTGCTTCATGCATGCTGTCAATAATAAATACCTAATCCTAATCCCCCACAATTCCCGGGTCCCGTACCATTACCTATAAAAACGTTTTTTTGTATGGGAGTAAAATATTATTTTATTTTAATTAAAATTATTTATTTTTATAATTAGTATGTGTCTCAATACCTATTCTGTGAACATTTCAAACGTCTTCTTGTTGTCGTTATTAATATCGAGCAAAATAATCACGTTTGTTGTATGGTAGCCCCGCTTAATTATTTATTTTATTATATTTTTAATATTATATTTTTAATATATAGCGGCAACAGAAATACATCATATGTGAAAATTACAACTTTCTAGCTATCACGGTTTATGAGACACAGCCTGGCGACAGACAGACAGCGGATTTTTAGTAATAGGGTCCCGTTTTCACCCTTTTGGTACGAAACCCAAAAAACTACATAAGCTAACTCGTAGATTAAAAAGTTAAAATATTAGTACCTATGGATTCATTATTCGCACAGATATACATTACATCCAAACAATATGTCACATACAAAGCCACATAGAGGCTGTGCTAAATAGTATTTTTACCACTTTCTAAAGTCAGTGCTAGAAAGCAATCTAATATCTATATACTCAGGAATTGAAAACAAAATAAGTACCTACTAAATTATAAGTGGCAGTCCAGATGACATAGAAAAAAGCTGGTAGGTCTCGACACTTCTTGATGTTGAAGTTACTGTCGGCGATGGAGACTTTACAGTACGTAATGGCGGCAGTACAATACGCGACGGACAGCACATCACCACTCTTATTACTGACTTTTATTACTGTTACTAGGAGTTTCTTCAGAGTTTCTTCTAGAAGTCTATCTTGAGCACTCTCGGTCGAAAAATCTAACCGAAGATTAAACAGATGATGGATAGGTATAAACTACAGAGGAGTCCTCTTCTAATGTATAGCTTCATTAAGGATTTTTGTGAAATACACTCATCACAATTTGTTTTTTTCTCCATATATAAAACATTCTAAAGGCTCATCTTCAAAAGTTTGTTCAATAACTTCACAAGGATCATTGGTGATTGAAGCATCCCAATTTTTGAAATGGAATCCCAATTAAAGGATCTAATGTGCTTTTAGTATGACTAAGCAAGCACTTACTTTCACTTGTTGTTGCGTTTCTATCAGAAAACGCTGGATTTATAAATGCTAATAATGTTAATACAAAAAGTTTCATTTTGAATTGTAGTAATTCTTTGTATTGTTTTATATCTTCTGTTTCTGCATTTGCGTAATAATGTACCAAGAACGTACCATAACAGTTAGAATTTTGAAAGATAAAACTAAATGTAGTAAGCCAAAACGATAAACATAAGCTAACTTAAATCTATCTTTAACTAAGATTTTTGAGGAACAGATAGGTTGCCACAATTTTTTAATTAAAAAACATTTATTTCCAAACTAACCACCTTTGGAAGTAGCAGCGGAAGTAGCTTTGCGCAATTCGTCACTAGCTATGCAACTTTGTTTAAACCAATTTACAATTGATTTTATTTTAGAAACAATTTTTTGCCACTCAGAGCATGCCATTGTACCCTCAGATACTAAATTTAAGGTATGAACAAAACATGGAATGTGTTTCTTCTTAACAAACGCCAATTCGATTGCTTTAACCATATTGGCTGCATTATTGGTAACAACAGCCGTCACATTATCTTTTTTTATACCCCATACTTAGCAAGTTCTTACAAGCATTTCCGAAATACAAATACACTTTCATCAAGCTCGTATACGCCGAGAGTAACTGAAATGAGTTCAATATCTATGCCGAAATGAACAGTTACGCCTATAAAACTCTTCATATTTAATGTATCAGACCAAATATCTGTTGTGAGGGATACGTCTGCTATTGTAGACATATTTTTTCTGAAAGTTTCTGAAACAACCTCATATTTATTATCAAACCATCGTCTAAGGCTTGCCCTACTTGGTAGTTTATATTGAGGAGTAACTGCCTTCATAAGATTTTTGAATCTTTCATTACGATTGAAAAAGGCTAGTGATCTTTACAAATCATGTATAGCAAACAATTGTTAAGTTTTCTTGTTTTCGTGCCAGATTCTGAAAAAGAGGATATTTCTTGAAAACTGGACTTGATAGACTTTTTAAAGGATTTACTTCCGAGCCAGAATCTAAAGTATTATCTAACTGTTTTCAGGTACTTTGAGAACAACTTGTAGAAGGAATGACGGCTTCGGATTCAGGTTGAAGTTCATCAACAATACCAATATGAGGTGACACTTTGGAACTTGAAGCAGCTGGCTCTAAACCAGATTGGGTGATATTTTCTCTTTCCGATGTATTATTTTGAAATGGAGCGATTTCCATATAAGCAGCCTTGTCGACATTACAAATATGCCCAATCAAGTTTGCTGTATTTCCATAGGATTTGATAATTTGTTGACATAACTTACATTTAGATTTATTGTCATAAATTTTTTCGTAAAACTAAGTCTAAACTTTTTTTTTAGGTGCCATAATATCCTGAAATAGACAAAAAGAAATAGATTAGTAAATGTTTTCAAATAATGAATTATCGGTAACTTCGAATCACTATTACTAACAACTATGCAAAGTAGTTCTTAAAATCGATTAGCGATAGCGTAAGTAATATTGGATAAATAATAATAGTTATTTAAGATATGAGTGCGGAAAGTAAGGTTTTACTAATAAGGACAACACGAGCGTAGCGAGGGTTTTCATTGGCACGAATTCGAAAAACCTTTGATGCTCAATTTTCTTACAACATTTTTCAATGCTTTTTGCGAGAAAATAAAACAAATACAGGAAACATTTAAAACAACTCTCCAAATTTAAGTATGTTAATCTTTACGACAAATAATGAAATACGGGTTTTTCTTTTTATGTCGTTTAGAACAAAAATTTTGAGTTATATCGTCACCAAGTTATTTTTAAAAAACATATAATATATAAATTCACGAACACAAGATTTTTACCATCAAACAAAATTTAAAAAACAGATAAATTCATGAACACAAGATTTTTACCAACAAACAAAATTTTTCTTTTGGTGACATCAGGACGTTTATAATACTTTGACTGTTTCGAATTGTCAAAACACTAAAATTATGACCTAAATTTGTACTATTCTATGAAGCTTTCGTTGTTGATGGTTGCAAAGTTGTTTGGTAATCAAGCAGTCTTGAAGTGTGTAGTGTAATATTATCTAAAACATGATCAGTCCAATTTATCAATTCAGTGCACGTTGGCGTGTAAAAGCAGACGGTGAAGCTAAATCATTTGAAGACATGAGTGGATGAAGGTGATATGTCACAAAATCCTAATTTCGAAAATATGGAGTTCAAAGTTATGCATGAACATTTTAGGATATTTCAAAATGCTTTAAGATTTTTCATCTAATAAAGGAGTCTGGCGGTGCCAACCGTTTCATATTTTAATATTAGGAGGGAAATTAAAGAATATAAAATGTATTTTAGTACTTTATTTAAAAAAAAAACTGAACATAACTCCTTCTTCCGCAAAGAAAATTTTAATAAATTCGAGAAAATTAAGTCTAAAGGAGACAAGTTACATAAAGACTTAGAAAAAAAAACAAAAAACGATTATTCTTCTCGAAGAATGGACTCATAATAATACCGATATTCCGGTTTAACAAATTTTAATTGATCCTTAATATTAGCTTTTTTTTCAATCGAGACAGTACCATATTTTCCATCCACGCGTGACACCCCTCAAAATTCGGGTCAACTTGGCCTCTTTTTTTAAAAAATGTCAACCTTCTGGAACGGTGTCATTTCGTTGTATGATTCTTTGTATAAATATGAACCGTATTCATCAACTCTGATCCATTTCACCGCCATCTCTAAAGCTAATTTTACCATTATTTGTATTTTTTTTTCCTGTTAATCAGATTTAAATCCTCTTGCAATCGTTTATTTTTCTGAAATGGTCCGTCATATCAATAACTATATTGTTTCGTGAAGCTTTGGTAATAATGCTTCGATATTGTTCAGGTGCATAGATTGTATCATTTTTCCGAAGCACTTTTTTCGATCCTCCCAAAATCTCGGTCCGAATCCAAATACGAATGTCCCACTTCGGGAAATTTGTGGTCTATGATTTTAAAATATCCTTTTAAGATTATGTATTGGTAAAGACATATTAAATTAAAATTTTTGTTCTGTCCGGCACATGAATCTGACCAAATAATCAAATGATCTTTGCCTTGGCAACTTGCATCTACCTCCACGAACTTCAAGAGTGCACTTGCCACTTCGGAACTTCCACGGTCCGCTACATCTTCAGTCCATGTACAACATACAGCCTTTTCTTTAGATGTTCCATCTATGACGTGAATACCTAAATTATAGAACCAGACTTGTCTTAGATAGAATGCCTTGGATGTAGTCAATTTAGGCAAAGGCATTGTTTGCTGTAGATCTACTGTAATGTAGAGGACATCCTCACCTGATGTAGGTTTTTTTCGAGCGACTTGCATTGCTTCTACAGCTGCATAGTAGTTGGCTTTATGTTCTTCATTTGAGTACCCAGCATCGCAAGTTGCACAAGTATCACTCTTTGGGTAACCAAAAGATAAATTAATTCTGTAACAAAGATTTTGCTGTAGGTAGACTTTTTAATGTTGTATTTCTCAGGTAAATTTTCTTTATCACACATTTCCAGATATAGGCTATGCATCTTGGTCACATTTAAAAGAGGGGAAAGATATAACTTGTGCATATTTTTACTACGAGAGTAATGGGACTGTTCGGGCGGGAAAGCTCGATATATGTGCTTTAATACGGTTCACAACGTCTTCATCCATTTAGTGAGGACGACTCTGGTGCTTCCCTCTACAGTCCGGTTTTGGAGCAGAAATACCGCTTTTAATAGCCATTATTACTAGATCTACTTTTTTCCGACTTATTTGGTATAACCGACACAATTGCAAACTTGCTTTGTAACCCCTGCAAATTTAACAATATACTTGTACGACGCCGATTTATGGGTTTTGGCATTACAGCGTTGTCTTTCAACAGGCTTACTTACAATGCTGTTAAAAAGTAAGCATTCTTGCTATTCACATCTAAGGAGTATAACTTTCTAAAATAGACTGCCTTTCATCTATTGCGAAATGAGTGGAGCACTGAAGCCTACATTTTTCGTGACATAAAATTCCTTCTTGTATAGATTTTTTTGGAATGACTTTATTTTTATACGATATATACTCTTCTCCTTTCTCTCTTGCAAGGGCTGCAGCTTTTTTCTTCCAAGTCCTTTCATTTCTAGATCGCTTTTTTGATTTGTTGTCCCTAGGCGGAAATATTTTTCGTTTTCCTAGGTATATCACGTTCTTGAGATTCTCCATTTTCCTGGTTCTCACTGGTAGATGGAGCAATGTCAAAGTCAGGTTCATTAGCACTCTCAGCATTTTCTTGTGATGTAACAGAATTTTCCTGAATTCTACTGGTAGGTGGATGAGCAACTACGAGGTCTTTTGCAGAAACTCTGACATCGATCTCACTAGAGCTTTGAGAAGTGGAAGAGTTTGTGTGAACTTTCCGGTATGAAGACATCATCACTTCCCGAAGAAAAATCTTCATAATTTTCATCAGAAAAAGTTGCATTCTCAAGAATAGTGTAGATTTTTTTATTTCGCAAAGGAAGTTTGTATGTATTAATTTGCTCAAATTGTGAATCTTCTATTATATCTGGACTGGATGTATTCCCCTTGATGTATGTGGTTCATTATTTCTGGAACTTATATAATCATGATTGACAGAAAGTTGAAAAATCGAGGGTTCAAGTTCTTGTTCATGCTCAATGCATTCACACTCTTGCTGAGACACTAACTCCGTGTTGCATTTATCTAGAAGCAAAAACGTGCCCATAAGCAAAGAAAAAAGTATGCATGCAAAACAAAAAAAAAAAATGTGCAGAAAGAATATTTGACAAATAAATATTTTATTCGCCTGTCTTTACATTCAGTGCAAAAGATCATAACAAAGACAAGCGTGTTATCAGCTCATGCCAAACCACCCTACACACAAAGCCTTTTGTAAAAATTTTGCGTCCATTACAACATCACACATATTAATTTTATACCTATGCACATATGATTAATTTTATAACATTCACAAACAAATATTCAAGAACATAACCGCACAAAAATTAAATAATATAATATAATAATATATACGTAAATATAATAAATTTTAAATAAATATTAACTTTACGAGATAATATTATTGTGACAAGTCAAGAAATAATACAAATTTAAAAAATAAAGTTTAGAAAGACTCACCTTGACGATCATTTTTAGGTTATCATTTTCGTAAACAATCTTCACAGCCGATTCATCCAAATTACGGCTAATAGCAGCTTCCACTAATTGCTTTACTCTTAATTTAGCTCCTGCCATTGTTTTTGTGACTTATTTATGTCAATTTAACAACACAATAATTAATCTATAACGACAACAATGGTGGCACACGCGTCTGATTGTCAAAAGAGCGCGAATTCGCGAATGAACGGAACGGAATGGTGAGGCCGGTTTATGAATGAAAGTGACATGTGCAGCACATAACACCTTCATCCACTGAATGTGCGCTACCATGTCAACATAGCTCCTTCATCCATTGTAGAAAAGTAAACTTTTAACTTTTTTGACTTTTATAAAAATGTTAAGTGCACATAGCACATTCATCCAATATTAATACAAAAAAATTGTGTACATGACACCTTCATCAAGTAGTGAACTTCTAAAATAGCCAGAAACACGGTTGTTTTAAGGTTTAAAATTGTTTGTATGCACATAACACCATCATTCATCGATAGAACAGCGAAAATCCAAAAATGCGACATATCACCTTCATCCACTCATGTCTTCATTTGTATCCGTAGCAACAGAAATTGGCTGTTCCTTAGGCCAGTGCAAGATTTTCCGTATCCATTTTAGTGGAATGAAAAAATTGCCGTGAAATTATTATTCAATTCACTCAAATAAGATACAAAAAGGTCAGCAAGATGCAGCATAGTTCAACAAATTTAATAACCTATATCAAAATAATTTAATGATAAATTAAGGATACATTTGTTCGATAACAAAAATTTTAAAACTAAGTTCTAAGTTAATGCAAATAATGGAAATTATTACATGTTCAATAAATACAAATTACCACAATGATGATATAGATTTTCAAATTATTGTTCAATTAAGTTTTAAATTGCTGTAAGTTTAATATCCAGACGTATCAAGACTTAATACACCCTCTTTAGCAAAGTACTTCACTAATGCCAACGAGCAAAGTAATTATCAAAATAAAGTTGATAATTCTGATCTCTTGGTATGCCCCCTGACTTTTTGACTACTACGTTTGATGATGCTCCTAAATCTGGTTCGTCGGGGAGCACAACATTTTCAGTTTCTATTTCAGGTTCAATTATATAGGCAAAACCTGAAACCCCTCTTAGTACAAAAATCTTATTGTTTTTTGGGATTATATCTTTTCAAATTACTCCTTGCCTAAGTGAAGCAAATTTGCTCGTCCACACAAAGATATGCCTTCAATGGAACTCGACTAAAAGTCCTATTCAAAGTTTCTACGTAAGGTCTAATTTTGATAAGCCTGTCAACGTTAGTTTGAGGTAAATTAGAATTATCGTTGAAATGGATGTACTGTCTAATTGGTAATTGGTTAGGATTTTTTTGAACTATGTATAGGTTTGTTTGTTCAGATATAAAAGTTATCAATTCCTTGGAAAAAATAAAAAAAAAGAATTGAATTGTGTACGAAGCTCAAGTAAATTTTGCGGGAAAGTAGTATTTCCTGTAAATCGCAACTGTTGGTGGTTTAGAACTAGGTTTTTCTTTTTCCATTGTATTTGCCGCTTTTTGCTCTTTATATTAGTGGAAGCTGTATTAGAATGGTCATTGTGCCAGTCCAGGATCTGCAGTCCAGGATCTGTCCAGGATGTGCAGACGAGGGGTCAGCAATAGGCTCACTGCGTCCAGATTCTCCAATAATTGCATTTGTATCAACTGCAATATTATCTTCTTCACAATCAGAAAATGTTCTAAATCTTCACTAAATCTAAACAACGCTGTCATCATCGTCCTCTAATCCGTGTTCGTTATAATATTCACATATATCTTGATCCCTCAGTGAGCGCGACCCCATTCTGCAAAAAAATGACATAATTTTACATCAATATCTACATACATTATTTACGATTAATATTTCCATCGTCGCTCAATGTTACAAATGTTTGAATTTCACATTTTTCACGTAAAAAGCGAAAATATGCATCGATAACAATACATGAAAAAAAAATTCATTCACTTAGCTATAAGTTACGAAAACAATTTCATACACTTTTAGTATATTTTTATAAAATTCAAAGCTTCGACGAATTTCGACTTGACACTAATAGCAACGCAAGAAATTCAAACTCGCTAATATCAACAAGTTACGCCATCTATTATTTGTGCTTAAAACTAATGTTCCGTGTGTTATGTAACAATGCAGTAACACTGGTTTGAATGAACTTAAAAGTTTAGTATGTTTTTTAGCGGGATAATTGCGGCTTGTTACCGAAATGTCACCCGAGGCTATAGAGGGTTAAAATTAAATCAATTTTAATTTTTTTTTTTAAATAAATATATTTGTAAATTTTGAGGTTTAACTAAAAAATAATAAAACTAAATCATTTAATAAAAAAATTATTAGAAAAACTGGTAGACTTTATGCCTTTCGTATTAGAGAGCTTTGTTCTTTATCATTAGATGTTAGTAAAAAGTCGACAGACTGCAGATATGTGCTCAAGTCATCTTCACAATTTGTTTTGATTGAGTGGGATGAACAACAAAAACAAAACTGCTATAAATGCTGCTTCAAAATATATTGTGTTTGGAGCAACATCTCTCACACCTAAGCTTCTAACAGTACAGGATCCTGATTAAAGTTACTGCGAAGCATTATGTCCAACCCATATTTTTTGTTTAATATTTTCCATACCGGTTGCATGCCCTCCAAAGTTTTTATATTTTTTACATTGTGTAACGGATTTCTCCTTTAATTTGGTTTGAGATAGAAAAAAAATTAAAAAATATAAATTGTGTACAATTTATTTATAAATAAAGTTTTTCGAAATAACAATTTTAAAATTCAGTTACAATTTTCAAAATTACAAATTACCAATTACCCCCTTAAAGTAAAAAAAATAAAAAAGGGGTATATTGACCTTGGCTTCGCTACCGTGCTCAGAAGGAGAACGGCAACACAACAAACCGGGGGCTGTCTGTTGCCCTACGGTCTCACTGTCCAGCGTTATAAGTCGCAGACACAAAATAACACTTGCAACACTTAATGTTATTAAATATAATAATGGTTGGGCACAGCTCAATGTTCAGCTTGTCTCGTGTTTAAATAAAGTTAACAAAATTTTTATCCACATCAACAATAAAACAATCAGGTCCTCCTTTTCCTTCGGTTCAGTAACGTAGGTGGGTCAAACCACAGGTACCCATCCACATGGAGCGATATAGCACTTACATACAGTTACTGGTGGTACCGTCAACCTGTATCGGACAACCCGTACCAGGCAGCTCGTATCAAATTTACTAAACGGCCAGTTCCATACAGCCTGTACCATACAGCCAGTACCAGACAGCCCGTACAATACAGCCAGTACCAGACAGCCTGTCCGTTTGAGAGGCGAAAAACAACAAGAAACACTTA